AAGATCTTTGCACCACTAAACCTTTAGAAAAAAGAACCCCAGGGGTGTTCAAACTTGACAGCTTTAAGACTTGTGGATTTCAACTCCCAGAATTCCTCCTCCAGTCATGTTGGCTCATGAACTTTTGGCATTGAAGTGTGCAAGTCTTAAAGCTGTCAAGTTACAAGATCTTTGCACCACTAAACCTTTAGAAAAAAGAACCCCAGGGGTGTTCAAACTTGACAGCTTTAAGACTTGTGGCTTCAACTCCCAGAATTCCTCCTCCAGTCATGTTGGCTCATGAACTTTTGGCATTGAAGTGTGCAAGTCTTAAAGCTGTCAATTACAAGACCCTTGCACCCCTAAACCTTTAGAAAAAAAAACCCAGGGTGTTCAAACTTGACAGCTTTAAGACTTGTGGACTTCAACTCCCAGAATTCCTCCTCTCGCTCTTCATCTTGATGATGTGTGGACATGGAGGGAGAGGGAGCTGGAACCGGTTCTAAATGGCACTGTAGATTTGTGGAACTTCTTCTATAGAAGAGGTTAGAACTGGCAGGAACCCACCCCTGAGCTGACTGCTACTTTCTTACACTAAGTAGTAGTCTCCCAAACCAAGAGGCAGTCACAGCAACATTTTTTTTTCTGGAAGATGGCTGGATTTTCTCTCCCTGTAATGAATGTATTATTCTCTGGCCTGGCAAGCAAAATGGTCAGCTCAGCTACAGCTATCGTAGTCAACAGTTGTTTTGCTTTTATTTCTTCTGCTGATACTTTCTTAGGAATTTAAATATATTTCAAAGGGGTTAAATAAATAGCTGATTTAGCACTCTTTTTCGCTGCAAGGACCACACCAAATTATTTGGGGCCGCACCTATGCATGATGGATGCATGCAAATCCACACATAGATCTTCCTTACACACACCCTACATATATACTACAATTATCCAATACAAATAATGTTTGTATTAAATAATTACATAGAGAATTGTAGCTCTTTACTTTAGCTTTTTCTGTTATGTTTTTGTATTTATTTTAAGCATTTATTATGTATTTGTTTATGCAGCCTTTTGATATAGTAATGCATATCCTTTTGGATTTGTTCCTTTTTCTTTTTTATTGTTATTTCAAAAACAATACACATTTTATTTTTAAAAAAGAACTTCCTATGCATACATAGACTAACTTTAAGCTCTTAGATGGGGAGGGAAGGGGAAGCTATTATGTTTTTATTTTAAAATTCCCAACACTGACAAAATATATTAGTCTCCCAGAACTAGACTGGGAGAAAATGAGAAACCACAAGATTTTCTGTTTCTTCACTGCAAGAATGATCTTCTGCAGCTTGCCAGTAAGTAAGTAGGTTGTCAGCCTGCTTGGAAGTCAGTAATGACTAGAGACATGTGTTGAGCTGCAGGCAGCTTCCAGAAATCATATATACTAGCCTATGAGCTAGAAGTGGACTTAAGTAAGATAATACTATTAATAACACTTACATTATAAGCACCCTGGATGAGTTGAACTATATTATTTGAATCCTCCTGCAGTTGTCCTACAGCAGACTTGGGTATCATCTTGCTCAGTTTCTACCAGTAAAAAACAAATATGCCAAAAGCATTATCTTATGAGCTTTCATGCAGCATGATACCATAATAACATTTGCTTTGTTCATGTGACACAATTTATAAAATCTTCTATTTTATTGGAGATTTACTTACTTCATATGTATCATAGACTCTTCTGGTAACAGCGAAAATGGGCTGGATTTTCTTTTCTTTAAGTTTTTGTATCAACTGACCAACAGAAGGATAATCCTATGGAACCAAGAAAATGGTGTGACAACTCAGTTCAACACAGATGATAATCTAACCCATTCACCAATTCTGACTTAGCTTTTGGACAGGAAACCACCCTTCTTCAGTCTCAGCCTGAATTGTTTTAATTTGGGCCATACAGGTATTGTTTACTTATTGTACAACTCTTATATTTTCCCACTTGTTTTTCTCCTCCCACTTTTTCTTGCCACAAAAGCCCACTGAGATAGAAAAAAATGGAATAATTGCTGAATGCTTACTTACTGCATTCATAATTGTATGGATGCCCTATTGCATTCCACTATTTTATTCTGTCTCTCTTTTGCACCATGTCATGTGACTGGTAGTTCAAGCAGCATCACTCTGAGAGCAATCCTGGCTTTGAGTAACAGAAGATCAGATTATGAGACCTCTTGGTTTACAGATGATCACTCTGAGAATCTGACCCTCACTACTCTTGCCTAAACAATCAAGGTCTTCTGTCATTTGCCATCCTTTCTTCAAAAGGGGTTATGGGACGGCCAACAGAACAATGAGTTTGTAGTGGGCATGTTTACTGTTCATAGGGCTTAGAAGAAGTGCTGCGGACAGAGCAGCCACTTTCAGCTATTCATTAAAGCCACTCATTTTTCCCCCCAGGCTTCCAGAAGGGAAGCCTGAAAAATCCTGTACAGCTTTAATGAACACAAATAGCTTCTGTGTTCACACAAGTTTGGCACGTCTTCTTTATAATAATTGTTGACATTTTATAGCCTTACTACATTTTAATGTTTTGTTTGTTCTTTTTTATTCCATGGATTTCTTGTAGGCAGCACACTTTGTATGTTGGTGTGTGTGTGCATACATGGAGGTACAAGTACAGTACATATTACTCTAAATATATACTAGAAATAAATATATATACAATTGTGTAATTAGATGCAAATAAAACAATATAAAATATTGCTCTTAATATAATTATTGTTTATTGGATTGCAAATAATTTGGTAAATGATGTTTTTATTGTCAAAACGATTGGCATCTTGATTCTCATTTCTAGAGGGCAAATAGTGCAGACCAGCTGCTGTTTTCAAGTCTACTTCTAGATTGAAAAAAAAAACTTTATTATATAGCAGTGCTAGCTGACAGCTACTTGTATACTTACATATTCGTTGCTTTTTTTGTACATATTGTCTTCCAAGTGACATTGTCCATCAAAAGGTGTTAAGATGGCTCCAAGCTTACCATCCCCAGCAAAATGAAAACCATCATCTGTTGTGTAGACCAATAAGCGAGTCACATTCTTCCAGCCAATTATATTCTGGATTTTAGAGCAAAACAAATTTTAAAGCAGTAGAAATTATAAAAATTTACAAAATCATTGATGCAGAAAGGAACATGATGAATCAATCATTTTTTTTATCTAAAACAGGCAAGCCTATTTAGTGTCACAGTTTTAACAGGCACCTGTCCGGCTGCTAAGGAAGGATATTCAGCATTTTCCTTCCTGGTATCTTCTACCAAAAGTGTTCTTCGTGAAAATTTATTTTTCCTGACTTACCCCAAGGCTGGATTTAGTGGCAGAGATATGAAAAAAAGTGAGGCATTTTACTTCCCAAAACTCCTTAGTTGACTCAGCTAGTGTGTTTGTTTAAACCAAGAACAGAGCAACCCCATCTCAGGTACCATAAAAAGAATTTACTTTCTAATAATTTTTATGCTGTTAATGTCATAATCTTAAGAAGCCTTAAAGAAACAGTAAGACATGATATTTGAAGTCAAATATTTTGGCTTCTTTTAGTTCATTTCAGGTGAAAAATCAGCCCAGGCAGAAGACAAATATTAGTTTTAATAACTAGTGTCATGTCAATAGCAGCATTTATATGGGCCTGAACAGAAAAATTCATTTGTATAGAATTTGTGGAAAAGTAGCATATACTGGAAATAATAAATTAATGAAACCATCTTCCATTTTTAACCCAAAAAGTTCCTTAATCAATTCTATTTCTATACAGTAGTGGGACTTACCTCACAGACAGCAGCCTGCATCATGGCATCAAGTCCTCCTTCTGGCGCATCAAGATTCCCTGATATGTTCTGCTTCCCTACTTCTTCTTGAAAACTCTGTACATCATCAGTGAGGCTAAGCACATGCCTAAAAGCAAATGGTGGCTGGCACTTGATTTCTGTGGTTGGGCATGGATTCTGGAGCTTCTTTGGATGGGTGTTTACAAATGGCAAGACAGTCTTATCCACAAAGGCACCAAAACCTAAAGGAAATATCAAGGAAAAGTAGTCAACCTTGTTCAATATAAATGTGGGTATGGGAGAACCATAAACCACTTCAGGAAAATATCATTAAAAATAAAACTATAGGGAAAAATAGGACTATGCATACAATTATTAAAATTATAAAGGATTATTCTTTAATAATCAGATACATTTGGATAAATATATATTTATCTTATCTTTTGCCACCAGAATACTATTCCCTCTCATTTTCTTTGGTTACCCTTGGTGGTTATTCAAAATGGTTGTAGTGGGGACAAGTGCAGACCATTGTGAGACCAAATTTGAGGGCTTGAAGAGTGGAAACTATAGTAGCATAGAAGGCCCCTAATCCAGAAAACTCCAAATAATGTACACCTTCCTTACAGAATTATTGCACCAGAATCCTACTCTCATTTATTCCCACAAATCAAAAGAAAGGAAAGCTTGCTATAAAATATATTTTCATCTAATGTTAAAATTCTGAAAATGGCTATTTCTTGCAAAATTAAGATATGTCAATTGAGATATGATAAATACATCTCATAGTATAGAATATATCAGTGGAATCTTAGTAGCTGGAAACACTTGAAAAAATAAGAATTATGTCAATCTTAGTTCTTGGTCACTCATGGACACTGCCATGCCATTTTCTTATCAATAATATTAAGCCATTTGTGCTATCACCACTTGGAATATATTTTTGTAATGTCAACAGCCGTAGAGTTCCAGAGTGGTGTCTTATTGAGCACTAGTTGAGTACCAGTATGTTTCTTATTAAGATGTTTTTTAAGATCAGCTAAAGTGATAGAAGACAGTTGCATATTTTAGAATAATGTACATACCTATCCGAGCTCGTTTGGTAATACCCTGGAGAGCTTTAAGGAGATCTCCTCCTAATTTCTTCACTGTTTGCAGATCATCAGCCATAGAGAATGAGAGGTCCATCAAATAATAGAGATCTATTGGGTAATCTTCTCCACGCTGGAATGTCACATTAAAAACAGCAGGTTGTTCTATTGATAAAAGAGAAGATGTTGAACATCTGCTCCAATTTTACCTCATCTCACAAAGCTAGTGATGCTTTTCTGAACTAGGAGACTGTAGGGTAAGTAGATTGTGAGATATGTGAGAAACCGATGAAAGTACATGAAAGGGCAGAATATATCAACACAGTGGTCAAATTGTGGCAGAATGATAAAGAAGGCACCACTGAAGTTAACTAGTAGAGTTTGTGAGGGTAGGAGCAGAGGAGCAAAGTGAAAAACGCACAGAATGAAAGGGGAATATGGAATATTTGGTAGAGAAACAGAAAGCATGCGTGCACACACACACACACACACACACACACACACACACAAACACACACCTCACATTCTCTTTTATTTGCATACGTTTATATGCGATACTCAGATCTGACATAAATATTTTGAGAGATGCATATGGTGTTTTATTATGGTGAAAAGTAGGAAATTTTAAAGTAAAAAATTGAAATCAATAGAATTGAAGTTAGTCTGAATTATCATTCGAATTATCATGAATTATCATGGTGAATTAATTGCCTTGGAAAATATAGTTAGTCATGTTGTCTAAACATAGGTTTTGGGTAAGAAAAAAATCAAAAGTGGGATCATACTAATTTTCTATTTTAAAAATGCCTGATAAGAGGTGGGAAAAGTCACATGTGTCATATGCTTCCTATCCTAAAATTGCAATCATCCTTTTAGCCATTTCCTAAATTTCTAATTTGAGGGTTCAGATTCTGAGATACCTGGTCTTAGATGCAATCGCACCACCTCTGGGTAGATTTGTTTCTTTGTGTTTGATTGAGCAGAAGAAACTGGGTCAATAAAGTTTTCTGGGAAAATAATATTTCCTTCACATCCCTTCTCAAGGAGCTGCTGCTTTGTGTCACATCGAACTGAATCTGGTTCCCCTGCTTTTGTGAAATTCTATGTTTCATAACAATCAAAACATAAAAACAATTAATAAGCTTGAGATATTGGGTGGACCTAATATATTTCAGATAGAGGAAAATAATATTTCATTGTTAAAGGGCGTACGTCTTACAATCATCATCATTATTATGATCATTATCATCATCCCAGCAACTATGGGCAGTTCACCAATATTTAAAACATTTAAAAAACAAGTAACAGTACAAAAAAGCATAAAACTACAAAACATGATGGCAGAGAAACAAACCCAGATAGGAACAAGAGAAACAAAGTAAATGGATGTCAATTATTTTCATCAAATCTGAGCAAAGAGCCATGCCTTTGAAATACTTGTAGAATTGGGACTATTTATTTCTTAAATAATAATTAATCCACTTGGTATTTCACAGCAATATGAACATAGTACCTACTTCAAGTTGAACTCAGTTCTTAGAACTTAATGATTTGGCTATATAGTTTCCTTGATAACAATAAAGAAGTGGGATGAGATTGCATTATTCGAGGGTGCTTTTTCATCTAGCCTAATTTACGGAATATATTGGTCCTCTGCACCTGCCTCCTGGTCAGTGAGGTGTGGTCAATAGTATGTTGCCTTGCAAACCTATACCTCAGATATCCTAAATTGCATAGAATAACATAGGCATGCCAAATTGGGCTAATGCCAAATGTTTCCCTTTTGACAGACTGGCCAAAATTTGCCAAAAACTGGCTGATATCATTAGCAAGAAATTCTGCAATGGCTCCAGTATGACTGAGCTATTTTTATTTTTCTCTTGTAAAAAATGGTTTAGAATCTTCGATTTACCAAAGCCTTGATGGGCATGATCAGAAGTAGTTGAAAATATAAATGTATGGGATTTATGCTAAAATACCAAGTGTGCAGAAAACAATTATTATTTCTTTGGTCTATTGAGAATAGCCTTTTACAAGACCTTTGAATATAATTATTCTTTCTGGAATCAATAATGCCTATTTTTAATATCTTCCTTGTAATTCCACTTTTTAGTGGGGAAACTAAAAATGGACGAGAATTAGAAGAACCTTACAGATTTTCCATACGTTCTGTTTCCCTGGCATTTACACCACCAAATCAGAATACCTAAAGCACTGTAAACACAAACATATTTATATTGTAGTGCATTTTGAGTATGAAGACAGTACCCAATCAAAATTTAATTATGTTCCACAATAAGAGGGAAAATTGATCCCTCATTTTAACAACATTTATTTCTGTATGCTTGTTGTGGTTTGTGCATGCATTCTTTCCTTGGGATTAACATTAGGTGTGAATGTAAGGAAAGATTGGGGGGAAAAGTACAATATAGAAATGTACTCAAATTAGTTATAGTTATTTCTGCCCTCTAGGAACTAACTATGGTAAGCATTTGTTTTCTGAACCCAAAACCATAATTGCTGCAGATGCACAAACTCCTACAGTGGATTATCTAAGGAAAGTTTGAGTATTGAGGATACAGAAATGCTCATGGTAACTGTAACTCTTTCCATCTGAAATTCTATCAATCCATTGGTTTCATTAGTGTTATTTATTTATTTAGTGTATGGCATATCATACATGGACTAAAAATATAAATTAACATTTCAACTATCATAGATTAACAGAACCCAATAAAATATAAATCACAAAGAGATCTATGTTCAAATATCAATGTTGCCATCTAACCATTGAAGTGCAGCATTGTTTATATTAAAAATATCTGATGCTGGACTAATATATGCCCCCAGCTTTCAGCTAGCCACTGTGTGATCTACAGTTTGATGTGGGACACTGAGGGGAGAGTATTATGCCTCATTTATACAGAGAGTCCGGCAGACACCATGTGGTGTGTAAATCCTATTCAAGATTATCAGTTGTGGATGTGGTAGTTCAAAGCCTGGCACCTGTTTTCTGGGGTCATTTATATGTCTTCCTATAACTGGCCATTCGGCGACCCATGGTTTTCCATTGAGAATTGATCCTGGGCAGATATTGTGCAAGTGTCAGTGGGGGCTTCCTGGATTTGAGTTCCATTGCTAGCAGCTATAAGAAAGAACATTACAGCATGCTTTGTTTCCTTTAACCCCAGTAAAGTAGTATTTTGAGAGATGAGTCAGAGAAGGTTAAAATAAAGATACAATTTTTTTTTTAGTATTTTCAAGGTAATATTTTCTTTTTTGAGAGCACTGACAGCAGCAACAAGTGTTTTTATAAAACAGAATTTGATGTGAGCAAAAGTTTCCACCCAAAGCAAAAAATCAAAAAGCAACCCCAAACACCCAATGACAATTGAAAGGAACAAATTTTAAAAAGACATCTGAAAGACACTTTAAAATGTAAGATTTTGTATTTTGTTTCTCTTTCTTAAAAAAACAACAACACACCTACCCGTTTCTTGCACCAAGCACAGCCAGGGCCAGACTCAATGCAGTCCTGACATGTTTTTACATTGTATTTGGTACATCGGAGAGAAAATGCTTAAGAAAGAAGAAGAAGAAAATGTTATAAAAGAGACATAACAACATATGAAGTTGAAGTACCCTGAATCTCCACAGATATGAAAATAGCTCACCTTGGCAGCAACTTACAACCTGAAAATGCATTTTACTAGTTGCCCCAAACTCCAACTGTTCTAAGCCCTCAACTTAGGATCACAACTGAGCCAGAAATTATTGTTAAGTGAGTTTTGCCCCATTTTACAACCTTTTCTGCCACAATTGTTAAGCGAATCACTTCAGATGTTAAATGAATCATACGGTCATGATTCATTTATGAATCTCTTTCCCCTCATTTACTTTGCTTGAGAGAAGCCAACTGGGAAGGTTACATGACCCTGGGACAGTACAATTATCATAAATGCATGCCATTTGCCAAGTGCACAAATTTTGATCTCATGACCATGAGGATGCTGTAATGGTCATAAGTGAAAAAACGGTCATAAGTCACTTTTTCAGTTCCATGGTAAATTTGAACAATCATTAAAGAATGGTTGTAAATCAGGGACCAGCTGTAATGAGATGGTGGTTTTTTTCTTTTATGGCCCTGTGAACCTATATGTGCAATCTTTGCTTTGAGACTGGAACAAGACTACCTACCTCAGCCACCATCCTGCCTCCTAGCAACCTCCTGAAAAATCCAAAAAAACTGTTTATATACTACATTTGGAGATATTGCGGTAAAGGAAGTTGACCTTCCACTCCACCATTTGCAACAGTGGGTTATGGTGGAGCTGAACACAGTGTCAAAGAAGGCAAAATAAGCTTTTCTAGTTCATAAGAAAAAATATCTAAAACCAAGTCCTGAAATATAGTACCTTTATTTTATCAGGAAAATCAAAGATCCATGCAACTGTATCATATTAATGTTCTTAAACAACAGCGGTGGTCAGCAGGCTGCGCAGGGAAGCAATCTAGCAATCTATCCAAGCTCTACTGCTCCCCAGCCATAGCCACCCCATGTCAAGGAGAGTAATTAATGGAAGTTTTCCCTCAGCTTCTGATATTTGGTCAATGAGGAAGCAACCTGTACCCGCCTTAAAAAACTCTATATGCCATAAAGCAGCAGAACATAATTTGCTGGAATCATGTTTGTGACATGATAGGGTTTTCCAGTGAGAGGAACAGATTTCTGTTTCTATGTACAATGAAAAGATTTCTCCATCTTTTTTATGGGTAGATTTCTAATACTCATAATTTTCATGGCAGGCAAAGTAGTAGAATCCATCCACAAATTTTATTAACATTCTTCATTATTTTGCATGCAAAAGATTCACCAGGGTTAAAAGCTTGAGCTGGGGTTAAGGAATTTTCACTACTTCAGTGTCTTTCTAATGTTAGAGAGGCCCGTTTCCTTCACATTTTAAGTAAGGTGGTTAGGTAAGATACTGATAACCATTTTGACCATATACGGTATTACACCTGTGAAGTAAGTTGAAGACAAGATGCACATTTGGAATAACATTTTCAAATCAGCCAACTTCACAGCTAAAATCACCCTCTCAAAACTCACTCACCCTGAAGTATCCATGTAAAGGGGAAATTAAGCAAATTCTTTGCCCTTCTCTCTGAATTATATCCTGATGCAAACATAATCAACAACAGTGTTGCCTAAAGTGCATCAAGTGAAGAATGTATTAATTGCTCCATGACATTATCTGGAAGAATTTGTTCATTAGATGGTAACGTAGCTGTCAGAGCTATCTTCATTTCTTGAATACTCAAACCGTTGCAGAAAGTGACAGGCTTTAGACTTCTCAGCATACAAGAAAAGTTTATTTGGCAGCCAGGTTCAGAAAGTTAGCAAAATGGCTAACATTGCAAATTCTGAATAACCTTCATTATCAAAGCACATGTTCTTATACATTCTCAAAAGCAGCGCAACACAGAAATACTTAACTCATTTCTTATTGGTTATTTTCGGGGGAAAGTCTTATAAGTAGATGAGGATCTTACTTCTCCTTTTGTTAAAGGTATGGACTATGTGTCATTAACGAACTTTATCTGAACCTTGTGGTTTGGACTTTTGACATAGGAACATTGGCTAGAACATCCTGTTGTTAGAGGCTGATAACATTTCCCTGTCCCTTTAAGCAAGCTTCTAACTGTCCCTTTTATGCCACATCTTCATTCTTATATTTTAATTCATATTTTATTCTACTTTAAAACCAGCCACTGAGAGAATATTAGCAAAGTTACTCCTGAGTTAACAACCAGTTGTTCAGTAACCATTTGAAGTTGCCATGGTGCTGAGTTAGTCTTAGTCGTAGTTATGATTTGAGATCCCAGGGATCTCATACTCTGCAGTGTACTTTTGCCGCAACATCCTCTCCCCAACCCACATGTACTTGCATGGTGCTAATGTCAGGTTTCCAAGTAACAACCCATATTTTGATTTGACCCTGACAATAGCATGTGCACAGCTTGCACACACCTGGTGCGGTACTGCAGTACCCTTCCCCAGTTTATATGCACTCACTAAAGTACCCCCTGCCTCACTCCATATTGTACCCATTCTCAGGCCACCTTATGAGCCACCTGGGACTTGCAACTTTCAAATGACTTCCCCTTGACTTTTGTTTGTGGGAAGCCTGCAGGAAGTGACAAGTTGAACTCCTCACTTAATGATACATATTTTTTTGCTGGGACTATCAAGATTGCTTTTTCTAAGTGATGCAGTCGTATTCTTTATGATTGCATTGCTTAGTAATAGAACTTCCAGTGTCAGTTACCATCATTAAGCAAGGACTACCTGTACACATGGAAAATGTTGAATACAGTAGTTTTGGAGATATGGGTCTACAACATAGTTGATGCCCATTGCTCTCTGAATTCATCAAGAGATACAGCACGTTTGACTGCCTTTGAAAGAAGTCTGGAAAACACTTCAGATGGAACATATGGATTTTCTCTAGGAAAATCCTGCTCTTCTATTCATAGTTCTCTCCTGCTTCTGTTAGTATTAACTGAGAACCACATGACTGAATAATAGTGTCTTGGATTGTGGCTTCTTCTTAGAATGTGATGGGAAATATTGACTCTTCAGCAGAATCTAAAGAATTGGGCTTTTTTATTTTAATGATCTTAACCATCTTCCTTATTCTAACGACTGAGGCAATATGGCAGAATTGCATAGTAATTGCAAAAGCAGCTTACCTGTTGTAAACAGGAGCAGCAGAGCTCCAAATAACAAAAGGAAGTACTTAGGAAACATCTCCTGTGAAAAGTAAATAGCATGCAATGAAATATAAGAAATGAGACAATTATCTTTACAATGCAGGCCTAAAACTTAAATAATAAATGGAAGAAGATACTTTGTGGAGGAGGAACTCCTGAAAAGAAATGGAAGGATGCATAATATTCGTTTACGCTTGTGTTGACTATTTTAAATTGGACTTAAGGTTATGGTCACATTAAAATTACTGTGGGTTACACTAATAAATAATTATCTTAATTTAAAGAATGTAAAATACACAGCATTAAGGAACTGGAACTAGTAAGACCACACTTTGAATACTATACCCAGTTCTGGTGATTACAATACAAAAAAGGATTGAGGCTCTAGAAAGAGTACAAAGAAGAGCAACAAAGATGATTATGGGCTTGGAGGCTAAAATATATGATGAACGGTTACAAGAACTGGGTATATCTAGTCCAGTGGTGGGTTTCAAAAATTTTTGGAACCTACTCTGTGGGTGTGACCTGCTTTGTGGGAGTGGCTTGCCAGCCATGTGACTGGGTGGGAGTGGCTAGCTGGCCATTTAACCGGGTGGGAGTGGCTTGCCGGCCATGTGACCAGGTGGGAGTGGCTTGCTGGCCATGTGACCGGGTGGGAGTGGCCAAGATGATGTCAGCATTCCCAGTCAAGATAGAGGTATAAATTACATAGAAAAGAAAGAGGCATCCATACACTTGAATTTAACTTCAAAGCAGTGGCAACAACTTAAATTCATTAAATAATAATGTTTGTTAGGGCTATACACTGCTTTTGAATATACAGGAATGTGAAGCCCACAGCATCTACTTGGTACTTTTTAAAGCAGCAGCACCTTTTTCCTGGATTCATGAAATATCGACTTTAAACAGTTGTGGGTGGGGTACTATATTTACAGTCTTGTATTCTTTTCAGTACTTTGTTTGGAACAGAATCCAAAGCACCATGC